AATGTCTGTACTTTAAAAATGTGAGAAATATGTTTAGGAGCAACTTGATATAAAGGGAATATGCTTGGTTTTTATGAATGCAGAAGACACCAAATACTCATTGTCACTTGCAGGGTACCTTGTACTGTGGCCAAGGCAGTTTTTCTCCCCAAGAGCTTAGTCCCTGCGGTGTTTCTGTAGTGGGGATGCTCTCAGGCAAGCAAAGTGATAGCAGATAAGATAAAGTCAAGACATAATCCCCCCACCACAAACGGCACTTTCAGGTGCCATTGGATTCCCTGCCTGTAGCTGAATTCTCCTCACAAAGGGCTTGGGCCGCTTAAGGCTGGGGCTGTGCTCAAGAGCTGGAATACCCTTTGTCCTGGCTCCCCAGGGAGAAGGCCGAGCAGGCCATCTGGAACCGTCTGCAGCACCTCAAGGCGCTGAAGGCCCGGCGGCCGCAGGCTCGTGCTCCGCTCCGCATCGGGATCCTGGGTACGGCTGTGCTGGGTCTCCTGTATCCCACTGGCAGCACCTGCCCTTCCCTGGGGTGAAAGCAGCTGGGAAGGGCTGCAGGAGTAACAGAGCGCAGGCCCTGCCTCATGAGGACCCTTCTCCTTTGTTGGCAGGATGCATGGCCGAGAGGCTTAAGGAGGAGATTCTGCACAGGGAGAAGCTGGTTGATGTCGTGGCTGGCCCTGATGCCTACCGTGATCTTCCCCGGCTGCTGGCAGTGGCAGAGTCTGGCCAGCAAGCTGCCAATGTCCTGCTGTCCCTAGATGAGACTTATGCTGACATTCTGCCTGTCCAGACTAGTGCAGGTGGCACGACAGCATTTGTGTGAGTACCTTTTCCCAGTGCTTGTTTCTGCAGCTCCAGTTTGGAAATCTACTGTGCAGAGCAGATGTGCCAGTGACAGCAGCTGCCCAGGAGATGCAGTGTCTGGCTGCATTGAGTCTCCCAGATTGTGTGTGTGTATTTGCTGCTGCTTTGCTGTGTGACTGAGCCCTGGAGAATGTGCCCTGAGCTCAGGCTGTTGTGGACTTCTCTCCCTCTCTTTTGGGAATGCTGACTCTCAGCCTGATGCTGCATTGAGTGATTTCTGTGCTGCTGTCCCTTCCTGAAGTCCATACCTCTCACATCCCCTGCCTTCTGTGGTGCTGTGCCCCAGGTTCTGCTATTTATTCTTCTAATCCTCTACACATTATAACTTCTGATTGTTTAGATTTAGTGATAACATTGTCAGACATGAATCAGACTCTGCTCAGTGTGGCCATTGCATATGGAAGAACAGTATTGCTCTCTGCAGGAGTGGGACGTAGAAGGATCTTTGATCAGTGCCAGGCTGCAGTGGCAGTCTGTGCCTCATTAGTTCTTTCCAGCTTTCTTGGAAATGTGCATGAAAAGTCAGGTGTTAGCTCAGGGCAAGCTGAATGCAGTGTGGATGGTCTGTGTGTGGAGCTGGCTGCAGGCAGCACTGCTGGGCTCATCCTGGGCAGGGTGCAGCATGGATGGTTCTGGAGGAGCGGGGTGTGACCCATGCTTTACCTCTCGGCAGGTCCATCATGCGGGGCTGTGACAACATGTGCACTTACTGCATCGTGCCCTTCACCCGAGGCCGGGAAAGGAGCCGCCCCATCGCCTCCATCCTGCAGGAAGTGAGGATGCTGTCGGATCAGGTGAGGCAGAGCCTCCTCCTGCCTGTCCCAAACCATGGGAGGAAGGGTGGTAACAGTGTTTTCAGTGGTACTTGTAACCACTGTCACTGCCTTTATCTACAGAGATGAGGTTGTGGTGGCTTTTTGATTCCCCTTGTAATACTCCATGACACAAGGGAGGGAGGGCTTCTGTTGGAAACTCCTTGGAGTAAAACCATGGCCGCCTTTGCAGCTCAGCCATTCTGCCCAGGTTAGATTTCTTTTCTCTTTATTTTGTAGGGAGTGAAAGAAGTGACCCTATTGGGTCAGAATGTCAACAGCTTTCGAGACCTGTCTGAGGTGCAGTTTCAGTCACTGGCTGCCCCAGGCCTCAGCCGTGGCTTTAGCACAGTCTACAAAGCCAAACAGGGAGGTTTGCGCTTCTCACACCTGCTGGACCAGGTCTCTAGGATTGATCCAGAAATGAGGATCCGTTTCACCTCTCCACACCCTAAGGATTTTCCTGATGAGGCAAGTGTAGAATAAACACCTTGGCTCTGCTTGCAGGCAGAGAGGCAGCTCTGAAATGTGAGGTATGGGCTGTACTGCCTTCCCAAACAAAGAGAATGTGGGTTCCCAAACTGGGAACAGCAGGTCCTGGGAGTTGGATGCTGGGGCTAAAGCTGGCCCCAGTTTACTGGTTTACAGTATGTTGGATTTTACCCAGGGAAGACTCTTCTCTTGGCACCCTGTTACAGTTAAGCTGTCTGAGACATCTCCTGATCACTTACCACAGGTCCTGCAGCTCATCCAGGAGCGACACAACATCTGCAAACAGCTGCACCTCCCAGCCCAGAGTGGGAGCACACGAGTCCTGGAGGCGATGCGGCGAGGGTGGGTCACCCCACAAAGAGCCCTGTGTCCTGCCCTCTGATTTGGGCTGCTGGTTTCTCCTCACTGATGTTGTGGGTTTCCAGTTAGCAAGTCCACGTGCTGTTCATTTCAGATACACAAGAGAAGCATATTTAGAGCTCGTGCACCACGTGCGTGACTCTATTCCAGGTGTGTGTTCCTTTGGTTTGGTCTGAATTCTGCACAGCTGCATCTCACTGTCCTTTCCTGAGAGCAGAATTCCCATCTTCAGTGAGAGAAGTGTACAGCTGTGTGTCTGTTACAGGAGTGAGCTTGAGCAGTGATTTCATCACTGGGTTCTGCGGAGAGACAGAGGAGGATCACCAGCAGACGTTGTCCTTGCTGCGGGAAGTCCGCTACAACATCGGTTTCCTGTTTGCTTACAGCATGAGACAGGTGAGTGCAGGCCCTGGTGGAGAAGACTGAAGGCTGAAGTTATCTCTGGGTGTGTCCCCTAAACTCCTCAGGGCTGTTTATCACAATAACACATTTTTTAAAAGGTCGTTGAAAATCATACACAAAGACTTAGCATACTGGTAGATGTTGTTTGTCCCAGGCAGCACTTGTAGGGTATGTGCTTCTGCAAGGGCTGTTGTTGTGTCTGGGCAGCTTCCAGCTTCTCTGTAGGAGTGTCAGGGTTGGTAACTGCTCAGTGACCTGGCTCTGCGGATGTTCCAGGGTCATTGCAGGGAAGAAACTGTTTCAGCAGAAGCTGCAAATACATTATTTGCTGATGAGGAATGTGCTGATGGAGCTGGGCTGGAGCCCAGCTATAGGGGTCTCTCAGTCAAGTCTGGAGGGAAGTGGTGAATTTTTGAGAAGAGAGGGTAGTTGGAAAGTCTCCATTAGAATGCTCTCCAGAGTGTATGATACTGTTGGGGAAGAGGACAGAGGATTGGGAAACATAAGGAAGCAAAGGGATTTGGATCACCATTCAGTGCATAGATTAGAAGTAGTAGAATCTGTTGCCTGTGGACAGATAGGCACATCCCACACAGGAGCTGCAAAACTGTTTCACAGCCACTGATACTCAGTGCCCTGCATCAGACCTTCTGCCTAAAAGGTGGAGAAGAAAGATGTGAGGAGCACGAGGATGTGGCTGGCACTGGAATAGTTCCTTTGTGATACAAACTGAAATGCTATTGGAATGTGGGAAGCTGTTGCTGGAAATGGAGCTGGCTGGGGTCAGACAAGGCTCTGGGGTCAGGCTGGGTGCTGAGGGGTTGCACTGGCTCTGTGTGTGCAGAAGACGCGGGCGCATCACCGGCTGCAGGATGATGTCCCCACAGATGTGAAGAAGCGGCGGCTGGAGCAGCTCATTGCCACCTTCCGGGAGGAGGCTGCGAGGGCCAACGCAGCACTGGTGGGACAGGCCCAGCTGGTGCTGGTGGAAGGGGTGAGTGGGCCTGGAATGGAATTGTCCTCCTCCTTTCTTGCTGGCTCTGAGGCTGTGCACAGCAGTCACCACTTCTGGCTTCCCTTCTCACTTTCCCCTTGTAATCCCAGGACTTCCAAGACCATTTCTTCACACTTAAAGCAGATAGCCTGACTTTCCCAGAGCACTGAGCACAGAGGATGGGATCAGTTAGGGATGCATCTCTGGCCAAGCAGAGAATTTGTGCTTTGGTGTGTGAGTGTCACCCATCAGCTCTGGCCACAGTGCTCTGTTCCAGGGCTTGGTTAATGTGGGTTTAATACCATCAATAGTGCTCAATTAATTCCTGAGGCAATAAAGCCCAGCAGTGAATCAGAGCAATTGCCATGCAGGTAATGTTCCCTATCCTCTTTCCAGCCCAGCAAACGCTCTGCCTCGGAGCTGTGTGGGAGGAACGACGGCAACATCAAGGTGATCTTCCCCGACGCCGAGCTGGAGGATGCTGCCGAGTGCAGGGCTCCAGGCAGAGCCCAGCCAGGGGACTATGTGATGGTGAAGGTGACCTACCTGCAGTGCTCATTTCCTTGCACAGTGCTGTTCTCTAGGGCAGCTGCTGCTAGAAGAGCCTGAAATTAGAACAGATATTCCCCAGCCTTTCTGTGCCTGAGGACCCTTGCTGTTTCTTTCAGGTAACCTCTGCCAGCTCACAGACCCTGCGGGGAGTTCCGCTCTGCAGGACCACCCTATCCCGTGCTGCTGCTTCTCACTGAGGGATCCCTGCTGCCCCTGCATGGAAGCAACACATATTCTCCATGAAGAAACAAGGAAGTGTGGTCAGGTGGAGAGATGGTAGAACCAGGGAGATATATATGTATATTAAAATTTATTTGTGAAATAATAAAATACATATATATTTATGCTTTGGTGCCATCTTACCCCTCATAGATGTGTGCAGGTTCAAAGGGATGTGTGAACTTTCAAAAAGGTTCAAAGCTGCATGTGAACTTTTAAAATCCAAGTACTGTGAGATTGTGTATTTTGACTTGCCTTGAGGCTTGTTACACCCTTACAGTGCTTCGGGTCTGTCCTCTGTGGTCACATCCTCTGGCACAGCCCAGCCTGAAAGATGGATGTGCAGAGCAGTTTCTTCCCAGGAAGAAACTCAGCTGAATTTAGGAGCTGCAAAAGCTGGTAGTACCTACAAAACAGCCCCAGGAGCTGCTGGAGAATGGCAGAAGTACCGTCTGAGGGTAGAAAGAGCTGAAAGAACAGAAGATTGATTAATTATTTCCAAATATTGGCAAAATGCTTCAAAAGGGGAGCAAACCTCCCCCTCCAAACTTTGCTTGTGTGTTGGAATGTGGCACTGGACTGTGGAATGAAAAATGGTGTTTAACGTGCACCAGTGAATCTGTTGTCTCTGGGGCTGAAGGAATGCAGCCTTGCCCTGGTACTGGGGAGGATTGGATCTTTGGAGGAGATTTCCTTGTTTCCAGGCCTGGGGGTCCATGGGGAGAGATGATTGCTAGTTGAGGGTCATCTCTGGCCTCTTAAAACCTGGGGTGCAGTTTTGTAATCCAAACATCTATGGGTGTCCTTCCCTTTGCTTAATAAGAGAAGGGGTTGTATTGATTTAAATGGTCAGAAAGTTCTTGAAGTGCATCTGACAGTTCCTTGTTTTCATCAGCCTGCAGCTGACCCTGGCTTCACAGTGTCACATTCCAGCCTGCTCTGTGAAATTCAAACAAGGACCTGTGACCTGCACTTGTGAGTAAACTGAGATGTGAGAAAGGATCACCCCTTTTCAATGCAGATAATAATGTCATTAAAATAAATCCTTGGAAAAGGCTCTAGCCAGTGACCAGTTTTGAAGGAACAGCTGGTAGCAGGGCAGTCACAACGTGAATTTGCAGAATTTTAAAATAAACCTCCTCTCCTGCTCAGTTCTTTCTGGGCTATAATTGTATCTCTTTGAAAACAGCATGGTTCACTGAATATTCATTAGGCTTCAAGAAACAAATACATTTTGCTTATTATCTCAGAGCTGAGTCCCTTCTGCTAGAAGTGAATCTGCACAGTCAGCACAGTCCATGAGGGCTCTGAGGTGCACAGGGCTGCTCTGCCCTCCTGCTTCCACATGGGAAAGTGTCTTTGGCCCAAATTCACAAACCATGGCCTGAACCTGTGCTGCCCAGTGAGGGTGAGCCTGTGGTCCAGGGGGGATTCAGGAAGAAGCAGCAGATTGGGATGAAATCCCAAAGGAAGCAGCAGCATGTGTAAGCAACAGCCCTCAGAGGTGATGGGCGCTGAGGCCAACATGCTTGCCTTATCAAGCCCACTGGGCAGTGGCCAGATTTAACTAAATCTTTCAGCTCATGAGCCCCATGAATCCTGGGACCAGGACTCAAGCCAGAGCACCCTGGAAAGGACTGACACCCACCTTTCCCTGCTCATTTTGACCTCCCCAAGAACGCCTATTCCAAGTGGGAAATGGAGACCACAGTGTGTCCTCCCCCCTCCATCCTGCTTTGAGGCCAGCTGTGGCCATTTTACAATCATTATTTTAAGAGCAGGAGACTAATGAGGAGGAGAGCTGGGTTTTACATTTTGATGAGGAGGTGATAATGCTCACTGCACGGGCTCCCGGGGGAGCCATAGCACTCACCATTTGCTTCGCCTCCTTAGTTTTTATAGGCCTCCGGAATGAAGACCGAGGTTTTAAGGCAGCAAAGCATCCATTAGGAAGTGCTTACGGTGACCTTGGAGGCTGTGTCAGTCCTTTGGCACTGTGTGGAAGAAGGAATGTGTCATTTTCCTTGAGGCCTGGAGGTGGGATGCAGGTTCTGTGTCGCTTGTCAGGTTTGCTGCCTAAACCCAGCTGTTGGGAAAGCTGAACTCGTACCTCGTGTTCTTTCTTGCACGTTTCAGTTCCCACCCTGAGCAGGGATGAGAGCCCTGAACCTGCCATCTCCCTGATGTACACCTGTGCCTTCTGCAGGTCCAAGTAGTGCCCTTCCAGTCAGTCGTGCCCCAGTTACGCCCATGGGCAAACACCTAAGGAGGCGTTTGGCAGCTCAGGTTTCCCAGAACAGACCTGAAGTGCTGGGATGACATTTACTTTCCAACAGCAGCCGTGCCCTGAGGGTGTCTCCTAACACCGGAATTTCGTAACACACAGCCTGCGCTTTTCTCTCTGCTGGCAGGGTGTGTGGGCGAGGCTGGACATCACCCGAACACACAAATAGCTTCACCTGGCAGAAAGGTCGCTGTCAGGGAGAACAAGAGCCCATTTGTTCCCCAGACCCCCATCAGAGAACAAACTTGTTTGTCCTCAAGTCTTGGCTGTGCTCAGGGACTGGAGGGACAGACACCAGCAGCCGGCACTCACAGGCCCTGTTCCCTGCTCAGCGCTGGCTTTTATTGAACTAAGGACAGCCTCAAAATTGATGCCCATCATTGCCTATTCTCACCTGCCCAAACTTCTTCCCTTCTCCAAGACTTTTGAAGCAGCATGGGCAGAACAGTCAGTCTTTTTCCCAGTGCCAGACCTGGCCATGGTGTATCATGTGCTGCCCCAGAACCCCTCGAGCTCTGCAGTCTGTTTTCCCTCTGCATGTCATGGTGCTGGTGGAGGGAAGGATGGATGTTTTCCCTGATGGAAGCCTGTAAGCACAGTTTGCTTTAGGTCAGCTGGAGCCTTGCTCTGCTGAGGGGGTGGCAGGTGACAAGGTACTGCCTCTCAGTGATGCCAGCAGCCTGCCAGGCTTGCCAGGGAAAATGCTTTCCTCCTGTTTTCTCAGGGGTTTTCACTCCAGCAGACAGGCTCCATGTGCCTGCCAGCCCATTACCCCAGGCCTCCTCCTCCTTCCTGCTCTGGGACTGCTGTGGGCTGGGGGTCCAGGGAGTTTTCCTTCAGCAGCTTTTCATCACCATTTCTGAAGCCAGCTCTTTGCACAGAGCTTTGGGATTTAATGCAACATAAAGAACTTTCAAAACTATTTTCCACTTCTGAAACCAGTTCTATCTTCAGTTCACTCTTTTCTAAAACTGCCAGTGGTTGGGTTCTGGCAGGGCAGGTACAGCTGCTCCTACAGGCTCCTCTGCAGTCGATGGTGAACTCTGTGCTGTGCTGGAAATGCAACGAGCTGTCCATTGCCATTGCTTGTTGCACCCCCAGAGCAGCCCCAAGCTGCTCTGCAGCCCCCCCAGGTTGGCATTGTCTGTTCCCAGCGTCCCTCCGTGTCCGTGCGCCTTCCCGGAGCACTGCTGGGCTGTGACCTGCATGGCAATGACAGAGGCACCGGTGGTGAGTGGCAGCTCCGCGTTTGGGGGTTTGTGAATTCAGAGGGTATCTCACAGCCTGTCACAAGCACTGCTGCTCTCTGGGGCCCTGCAGTCCTGTGGCTTTGCCTCCTCCCTTGTGAGCAATTTATTTCCTTTACTGACAGACAACTATTGACTTCTCATTCTCCTGAAGATGAGATGTCTTGTCTCATCAGGTTTAAATTAGTTTTATCTTTAGCCTTTCCTATAAATAAGCTCTCATCACGGTGTCATTACTTGATATCTATTTTCTGATGTTTTTCATTAATGGCTCTGTATCTTCCAGATATTTTTTCAAGTATTTTTTTTCCCTGCTGCTGAGTTATTTAAGAGTCAGACACAGATCAGAGACGTGAAGATGGTCTGATGCTAGTCAGAAACAGCGTGGAATGGACCAGCACCACTTGGTGTGTGGAGCAGGGCACTGGGACTGTGATGGGGTGGCAGTGGGACTGCACTAGGGCTGTCAGGGATGGTCATGCATTCCCTCCCTGTCTCTCTGCATCCCTCTGATCCCAGCCTGAGCTCTGACACGCCTGGGGCTCTCAGGAGCACGAGTCAATAGAGTAATTAAAATGCCTCCCATGAGGCGAAGGTGCTGCAATTCCTTTGGACAGCTGTATCTGTGAGAAACAGAGGACTGCTTTCTGTGCTTCATGTGCCTGGCAGGGACTCTTCCCCTTCAGCAGAACCTCCACTAGGAAATGTGAAAGGGAATTTTTTCACATTATTTCAAGGGGGCCCTTGCCCAGGGTCCCTGTTCCTGCTGGGTCTGAGCCACCTTCCCCAGCAGCCAGTCTGGGGCAGCTGCCACTGCCACCAGGAACATGGAGCTGGAAGTACTGCCAGCCTGGGGACAGGCAGGGTGGCCAGCCTGGGGACAGGCAGGACTGTCAGCACAGGGACATTTCTTATTATGTCTTCAAAAGTGGCAAAAGCAAAGTCCATCAGTGCTGAAAACACCCAAATCTCAACCTCACTGCCCTACATTTACTTCTTGCATTAAGGAGGAGGAGAAAGGCGTCTAATTCCTGGAGAGCAAACCCCGGGATGACAGCAGCCTGATGCACAGTGGCATGTCAAAAGGGAGCTGTCAGGGTGTTCAGGGACACTTCTGGGGCTGTGTTTGCCACTACAGAGCCAGGTCACCGCGGGATCCCTCGCCCACCCCAGCTGTGGCTCCCAGGTAGGAATTAGAGAGCGGCTGCAGCGCCTCCAGCAGAGGGTTTGAGGGTGATTAATATTCAGCACACTGCTGTGAAAATGAACAGCCAGAAAGGATTGTCCTCCTCCCATTCCTGCATCCATGAGGGCAGTGAGGGGGGAACAGAAATTAAATTCACTTTTGGTCAGGCTGATTATGGGGTTTTGAGACTAAACAAGGTACTCCATTCTCTTTTGCATATTTAGTGTCTTTTAATCTGTTTCTTCTTCCCCCCTTTTTTTTTTTAATGTCATCTTTCTGTAATTTAATTACAGGAAGTTTAAAAAGAATAGTAGGAGGCTTTGGTTAAAGCTATCAGAACCAAACAGGAGGCAATTCCAAAACCAGTTTCCCTTTAAAAGAGGGAAACATTCTGACATTTCATTAAAGGAAAGATTCTTCCCACAATTTCTTTTCCAAACTCCATTTTGAAAACCCTTTATACAGTTGGTGGAAAAGCTTTCCCTATCCCATGCTCAGCAGCCAGAGCCTGGCAGGAGCAGTAGCAATGCTGACAGTATCCCTGGGATTCTCTGCACAGCAGACAGGTGGTGTTGGGTGCAGAACCCAGCAGGGTGAGAGCAACCTCAGGAAAAAACCCATCAGTGCCCCCACAGCCAGAGCTGGCAATCTGAGCTGTTTCAGAGTCACCTGTCCTGGCACACTGGGGCTGGGTGGTGCTGGCAGCAGGGACATCCTCCATGGCACTGTTTTTATTACTCTTGGTGGGTCAGACCAGTGCAGGTGCTGCTGCTGTCCCCACAGGGCTCACAGGGGACCTGTGCCCACCCCTGCCCCTGTGGCAGTGGAGGTGGGACCCAGCCCAATGGCACCGTGCCACCTGGAGAGGTTTGTGGTTTGGCATTTTGGCTCTAGGATTGCTGAGGGAATATTTACATCTCTTTCTGCAATCATTCACAGCAAGTGAGCCTAGAATGGAGCTTGGCACGTTCCTTCATCCTCCTCCTTTGGTTTCCTTAGGAACTGGAAACTGAAGGTGCCCAATGAGGCGTTACGGATTCAATAGCTCGGGCCAAGGCACTGCCACCCATCCTGTCCTTCCCCTCTGACCACAGAGCTCTGCCACTGTCATCAGAGGGCACCTGGCATCTGCCCTTTGTGCTCTGAACACACACAGATCATCAGCACCAAGATCCACTGGCAGAGCCCCCAGCGTGTGGGTGTTACTGCAGCCAGAGCGAGGTGCCCAGTGACCACATCTCATTAGCCTTGTTACCTCTGCCATTAATTGGCAGGGCAGGGGTGGCATTGGCTGCTCAGGGTATGGTGAAGGTGAGGTAAAGGGAGTAAAGGAGCAGCAGGAGAGGCTGGGCTGCGGTCCTGTGGCACTGGTGACACATCAGCAACACCAGTACCTTGGGAAAAGAGCAGTGAGAACCTCCAAGTTTTTCAGGGGATCATTTAGCCACCCAGAAGACGTGAGCAGGAGCCCTGGCAGCGTGGCACCAGGAGGATGCTGGCTGCAAACTCTCAGCTAACAGCACCAGGACTCCCCTGTACCTGTTGGGTGTGGCCCTGGGGGGACCAGAGGGACCCACACCAGACAGAGGCAGAGAAGGGTGCAGGTGCTGCCCACCAGGAATGCCCAGCAGAGCCAATGTGCACACGTGGAAATGGTTGGTGGCACGTGGTGCTGGGCCAGTGGATCTGGAGGCTGCAGGGCTTGGGCATCTCTCACCACCCACAGCCCTGTGGGGGATGAGGTCTGATGCCAGTGCAGCCAGGAGTGAGCTCCTGTGCCCAAGAGCTTGCTGGCTACTGCCACTGCTCTCCCTGGGGTCCTGGGGGGTCCCAGCCTGGGAGGGAGCTGTCTCCCTGGGGCAGCAGGGATGTGTTTGTTCATGTCAAACAGCTCCCAGCTCACTGGCAACAGGCAGGAGCAGGAATACACACTGAAAGAACCAGCAGCTCAGGGACAGGGGCAGAATAAATCTGCATAAATACAAATGAGGGGAATATTTATTTGCCACATTGACCACATTTCTGTAGCTACTTTAAACTGTGAGAGTGGGGGTCCAGCAGCCTGGGCAGGGTTTGGGCTCCATTCAGGCCTGGCTCTGGGTCTGCAGCCCCTGTGGTTCCCCGCCTTTCCAGCAGACTCACCTATTCAATATTCCTCACATGTGAGTTACTCCTGTAGCTGATGGGAGAGATAAATAACAAAACCCTTGCAAATGCAAAAATCCTTTGGCAGTTTGGAAAGGAACCAAGTCACGTGCTGAATGCAGATGAAGAAAAATCATTTTTATTGTAAGGAGTAACAGAAGGGTGTGAATCTGCCTCAAATCCACCTCACCCACAATGCAGCACATCCAAATCCACTTGGAGATTACAAGGCAGGATAGCGTTCACTCTGATCAGTTCAAAGCGTCGCTGTTTGGGAACAAATAGGCTGAGTGTGTGCCTGGATTAGGCTGGGGGCTTTTTTTGCCTCTTTTTAACAGTATGAAATCACTGGAAACAGCAAAATTCCCTTTTGAAATGGCAAGCCAATCAAGAAGCAGAGCAAAGACAAAGTGTTTACAGCTCATTGAATTCGTCCCTTTTCTCTCTTCCCTTCTCAGAAGGATTTGTGCAGTTGGTGCAAACTCATGAAATTCCAGAGGGGACCAAACCCCTGCCTGACTTCATCCAGCACTTGGAATGTCCCCTCTGTGCTGAGCCATTACCTGGCCTAAACCCCAGTCCAAGTGAAGCTGGGGTGGGCATGAGGAAAAACCAGGACATCAAGGTCATCCCTTCATCAGTGAGTACCATAGCAAGTGGTTTGTGGCCATGAGAGCCAGGAGGAACACAGGCAAGACCTGGGGCTCCTGTCTCCACAGTCTCAGTGTCATCAACATGGCTCATCATCAACATGACTGATCATTGACATAGCTAATTATCAATATGGCTAATTATCGACATTGCTCACTGTTGGCACAGATTATCATTGGCACAGATAACTCCAGGCTGGACAGAGACACCAAAATCTGAGAAGGCTGAAATGTAGAGCAGAAGAAAGAGTCTTTTCTTGGTTTGGTTTCTTCATTTTCATGTCTATTCTCCACCTACTGAGTCGTTTTCCTCCCTTCCCTCCTTCTCCTTGGGAATCGCCTGCAGGGGACCTGGAGAGATACCAGAGTTGAGATTTTAGGCAGCCCTGTGCTACCCCTGTCACCTCCCACTGCCAGGTAGCAGGGTCAGGACTCTCCTCACCCAGCCCAGGTCCTGGCACCGGCACAATCGGCAGCAGAGCTCTGAGCCAGGTCCCCAGGCAGCAAATCCTCCTTACCCCAGGGAGTTGCCAATCTTGCAGCTATGGACTGATCCCAGGATTGACACCTGCGGCTGGGGAGAGACACCCAGGTCATTGCATTCCCTCCTCCAGGTCCCCAAAGGGTCCCCAAAGCCTGACAGTCCCCTGGCATCCCCCACCACAGGGCTGGACTCAGCAGTGCCTGATGAGAGCCTCCAGCTTTATGGGCAGAGATGATTTAGTGCCCTCAGGAATACGGCTCTGGGGAAGCTGGGAAGACTTCCAACTCTTCCTTCCCTTCCCTATATATTAACTTTCCATGCATATGAAGCTGAAAGCTCTTCCAATCACCTCTGCAAATATTAATTAATCCTCGCAGCATCCTGAGGACCATTATTCACTCTTATTAAGCAAATATTATTAAATCCTTTTATAAGAGGTGAAGTGACTTTTCCAGGGCTGGGCAGGGCACAAGTAGAGCGCACAGACTCTCTCGCTACTGTATGCCAGACCTGCCACTGCACAGGGGCAAAGCTGCTCACATCTGAGCTGGGGGCTGTCTCTGAGGACCAGGGACAGGGACTGAGGATCAGAGCAATGAGAACCCTCCCCACACCTGGCCACCACCCAGGACTGTGTCCCCCATTGCAGCTGCCCCGTTCTGGCTCCCAGACACCGGTGGGGATCCCCATGGCAGCACTGGGGCTGCACTTACTCTGAAGGAGCCAGTCGATGAAGGTGCTTGGGAATGGGGAATTCTGCAAAGAACAAGGAGGCGTTAGAGCACGTGAATGTGGAGGGAGGGCAGCAGTGTGGGGACATGGGATGGAAAATGGGGTGGGACATGGCTCTACCTGCAGATCCAGCTCCACATAGTGCCCAGCTGTCACTGGCAGTTTGGAGAGGGCAGAGTAGATTTTCCCCAGAAGCCCAAAGGAGATGACGCCTGTGGAGAGGGAGAGGCCATCAGGGCAGAGCTGCCTGTGGGTCACTGAGCCTGCTGGAGCCCTGTGCCCACCCAGAGCATCTGGCAGAGGCTGGGATAGCATTGTCCTGCTCAGCAAGGAGGAAAATCTCCTTGTCCATCCTATGGATCTCAGACTCCCTGGGGTTCAAATGTTCTCATGAAAGCTGCTGCCCTGGAGATCCCAGATGCAGATCCCATCACAAGGGAAATGTTGGGGATAAATGGAGATGGACAGTTCTGCTTTCAGTGAAGCAGCAATTGTGTGTGAGGTTTGACATGAACAGAGCTGGGGAGGGGAAACCCTCTGTCACTGTGGGGCTGCACCTGGGTGTCCTGGCATAGCCAACTCTTGGCAGCAGCTTGGGTCTAGCCCTGGTTAGAAAAACACCTGTAAGAAGGGCAGGACTGTGGTGACTGGCAGTGGTGGAGAGACAGGACTGTGCCAGCCACAACAGCTTTGCCAGCGGAGAAAAGCTGCTCCTGCTCCATGTGGAGACCCCTGCTTCCATAGCCCCAGCTCTCCTGAGAACATCTGCTGCCCATGGAGGTGGCCAGGCACACAAACCCCGAGTGTCATTCTAAAACTTAATATAAGAAAGAAAATTTAATGACTTACGGTTGAGGAATTGCAGATTAATGTTGATGATGCTGACCCAGATGTTCACTAATGGGCAGAGCTGAAATGGCAACAAGTGGCACAGTCTCAGTGAGAACACTGGGGGTGCAGCAGCACATTCCCCAGCACCACCTGAGCTTCACAGATTTAAATCAGGATGGGACAAACATCCTGATTTCATCCTAGAGCATAGTTCTTCCATGGAAAAAGAGCTATATGGTTTGTTCAGCCCCCTTCTCAAAATGGCACAGATTTTTCTGAACCAGGTAAAAGATCCTCTAAAAGGCCACTTTGCTCTAAATGGCTCTGTTGCTTCTGCTCACCCCCACGGGGAACAGCTGAGTATAAACTACCCTGTAACATCGCATGATGAAATTGAAATTACTCCCAACAAATAAATTCTGACTGTAAGGAAGATCAAGCAATTTTGTGTAACTCACTTATGGGCTGCAGGCATGTATCTGTGCATATAAAAATACATATTGTGTATGTATGTGTGTATACATATATATATACACTATATATATCTCTATTTATCTATATATAGATATCTATGTATCTCTCTCTATATATATATTGTCCCTGCCAAGGGCAGGGGGACTGGAAGTAACTAACCTTTGAGGTCCTTTCCAATCCAAACTGTTCTGTGATTCTGTGTGTGTGTGTAAATCTACCAGGCAGTTGTGCCAGGAGCACTGACTGCAGCTGAAATGCAGCTTCACAGCAAAGAATATTCAGACACTCACCAGCGCAGGGACAAGGGACTTAAGAGACTTGTTCAGCAAGCCGCTCACCAGATTGGTGAGGAGCCTGGGGAGGGAAAAGACAGACAAAAAATTACCGGGGAAGTTGTCAAAACCCAGGACTTGGCATCGAGAAAATCTGAGCCCCTCTGCTTGGTTCAAAACTGAGCTCCTCTGTAGAGGAGCCCTCTCCTCTCCTCTGATAAGAGATGCTGCAAGCCCAGAGCTCCCCCAGGCTTCAGCAGGAATTACAGATGCTCAGGGCTTTGTTATCTGAATCCCAAAATCTGCTTGTTATGCTGTCAATCCGTGCCTAGATTTGAGACTAAAGTTCTGCCCCACTGCCAGCTTGCAGGAGCTGACCCCCATGCTCACCCCTTCCTCATGCTGACTTTGAAGCCACCAAGGAGGTTGTTGCAATCCTTAAGCACCAACTTGAGGTCACCGGGGGAGTCCTGGGTCAGGGCAATGTGGGATGTGATGTTTGCTTCTACTGAGGATCCACTCAGAAACTGAAAAATCCTGGAAGAAAGGAAGTGGGGTGGAAGGATACGGAGGAAGGGAAAGCAGCACAGGAGAGCAGTGGAACCATGAGCACAGCCTCAGCTGGGAGAGTGCTTCAGTTATGGGACTTCTCTCAGGGCCCCTGTCCTGATCACAGACCCATAGAATTGTTCAGGTTGGAAAAGACCTCTAAGATCAAGAAGTCCAATTGAAACACAGCTTCACCTTCATGTTTGATTAACCATGTCCTCAAGAGCCATATCCACATGTTTTTTTAACTCTTCCAAGGATGGTGAGTGTCCGTGGAGTGAGGACAGCTGGAAATGGTTCCAGAGAGAGTCAGCAGCACAGCTTTCTTCACCAGCCTCTTGCTCAATGTTTGGGGATGTTTGTCCAGCACTCAGGAGTGTCCCATCCTCCCCAGTGCCCTCAGGTCCCTGTGGCCTCACTCTCCAGCCTCACTCACCCTGGAAAGCGGAGCACCAGCTTCGAGTACAGGTTCAGCACAAGCTCAGTCCCACGAAGGACCTTCCATGACACTCGGGCGTTCTCAAGGTTCAGCACCTTCAGCCTGGGGATTGACACCAAGGCAAACCCACCTTGAGATGGCAGGATCAGCAGGAGCAGATCCTACAGTCCCATCTCTTCCTGCTCATCATTTTGACCTGTGGATATTCCCATGTAACAGTGAAGATGGGGAAGGACCAGTTCCTACTTGCAAACAGCCAATCTCTCAGCATGGTCAGGTTTCTCAAGGCTGTCTTATGCTCTATGAGTCTCAGCCATCTCCACAGGTGGAGATTCCCTGGCTGCCCATGGCAGTGTCACACCACTCCCATGGGTAAGACTTTTCCCATTTCTGGCTGGAATTTCCCCTGTCACAGATGCTCATGTGAGCTGCAAGCCCAGGGCTGGTGGTTTGTATGAGAGAGAGGGTCTGATCCCCTGGATTTTATGGGTCACCCTGCAGTGAGCCCCACCAAGGGGCTTCTGACTCACCAGGCATAGCGTGTCATCTTCTGGGAGGGTCCACCACCCAACAGTCCTCCTGCACCCAGAAGTCCTCCTGCTCCACCCAGAAGACCATCGAGTCCAAGCAGACTTCCATTGCCTAGGAGACCTCCTTTTCCAAGCAGCCCTGTGCCAAGCAGACCTGTCTCTCCAAGAAGGCTGTTATTGCCAAGGAGGCCATTGCCGAGGAGACCACTGCTGAGGAGACCATTTCCAAGTCCTTCCCCACCAAGGAGGCCTGTGCCAAGTCCTTCCCCACCAAGGAGGCTTGTGCCAAGTCCTTCCCCACCAAGGAGGCTTGTTGCAAGGCCTTTCTCGCCGAGGACACCTGTGCCAAGTCCTTTCCCACCGAGGATGCCCGTGCCAAGCAGCCCACTGCTGCCAGGTTGTCCTCCTGCAACAGCCAGAACTCCATTACTCTCCTGTCCTTCACCACCCAGAAGCCCTCCCCTCCCAAGCCTACCCTGTGCCAGGTTTCCTCACCTAGGAGGCCTGTGCCAAGGGCCCCAGCTCCGCTGGGTTCATTTCCTGCACCAAGGAGACCTCCACTTTCTGCTCCACTTGGACTTCCTTTGCCCAGGAGGCCAGTGCCAAGCAGCCCACCTTCACCAAGAGCACCTGTGCCAGGCAAGCCACCATTTCCACCGATGAGACCAGTCCCAAGCAGGCCTGCACCAAGGGAGTCCCGGTTACTGACTGGACTTCCAGTCTTGGGAGGATTTCATTGACAGGGAAGGTTGGTTTGGCCATGTTAGGGTGCTCTGCTGGTGAGGTCTCACAGGGACCTCTGAGCATCCTTGAACAAAGCTGGGCTCCCCATGGAGATGGACCTGCCAGGAGGCAGCTCCCTGATGAGCAGAGGGACATGGCCATGAGCCTAAAATGGCACAGGACTGTGCCATGACTCTCCCCTGGAAACACAGAAACTATCTGAACTCACCACCACTGGCTTGTGCTGGGTTCAGCAGGTTGAGGAGGCCCTGGGAGGGAGGCAGGAGGCCCCCGAGGAAGATGAGACACCAGAAGGGAGGCATGTCCTGGCACAGCACCTGTGTAAAGACCCACATCAGCCCGAGCATCAGTTCCACATGGGCACTGACAGCCCAGCACTGGTCCTGCTCTCCATCCTTCATGTGCACTGCCCTGGGGTGGTGGGGAGATTCCTCCTGGACATACAGCCCCCATATCCCATGGCCCCTCATCCCAGGAGGTCAGCCCAGACCTGCAGCCCCTGTTGCTATTTCTGCTTATCAAGGAGCAGCTGAAGCCCAGTGCCACTCTGCTCCAGAGCCATCGATGTCTCCATGCCTGACCGGGCTCCCCCACTGCAGAGCTGCATACCTGACACTGCAGGGAAGTGAAAATGCCATTTTAAGAGAGGAAGAGGGATGGAGATGAGGCAGGAGGACCTTGTACTGAGAGAGACGGATGGCTTCCAACCACTCTGAAATGGCCCTGAAAGAGGAACACTCACAGGGGCTCAGCTGAATAAAAAATGACGAGTGTCACAGTCGTGTCCTTCTGCCCGCTGTGAAGAGCACCCTGTGTTATTAAAGCTCAAAGCACGGCCGGAATCAGACTCACTTTCCCGTGGGCAGGTTGTTTGTTTTTCTCATCTTGTTCCACTCAAGCTGTGAAAAAGAGTCCGTTTTTCCTGTGTTTGATCTGCCCCCAGCTAAAAGAAAGTACTTTCAAGGACCTTCTGTTCCTGCCCGAGCTGGGCTTCTCAGGGTGACAATGCAGGCTGGGGAGTGTTTGTTTATGCACAGAAAGGTGTTTGCAAAGAAATGAGAAAATGGTCTCTTTGCAGCACTGCCAGGGGTCCCAGCTCTAGGAACATTTTCATGGACAGCCAGTGTCCTGGACAGACACCTCAGCTTGTCCCTTCCGAGAAAAACAATGTACAGGGTGCAGATTGCAGAGGTTCAGCACTGAGAAATAACATTATTTAGGTCAGACTGAACAACTTCTTTATCTCTTCCAGATACTTAAAAAAAAAAATCCCTCTATGACAGTTCTCGGCACAATTAAATTAGACTTTAATTCACTCGACTGTCTTTTACATTTTCCCTTTGATCAGCACGTAATGATGCACAGCTCCTGTAGCTGCGATTATTGAACAGGGGAGAAGGAGAGAGGCTCGAGCAGCTTCTATTGAAAATCGTGTCAAATAAAATCAGTGGGATTTGTTGGAGGGGCTCTGAAAGACGTGTGCAGCATTGCAAAAGGGTACCAAAATGGATGTCAGGGCTCTTAGAAGAGCTCTTAGAAAGAATACGTGACCATGCAGGCACCTTTCTCTGCAGTTATTAACAATATCTACCAGGGTGCTGCTCCTCGGTCACACACATTTCAGTGAGCCGAGCATCTTGCACAAGCAAAAGGCATGTCTGGCTTTGCAGATAAACACTTATTTTACACCAGCTGAGATGAGGTCTGGAGAGCTGAAAATTGCTCTGAAATCTGGTCACCAAGATCATGAAAAAATTCCCAGTCCTTTCTGCCAGCTTAGTCATTATCACAAACTTAACAACAACAGGAATAAATGTGGAATTTAACAAGCAAGAGCTCTGCTAGCTTTAAAAATTAATTTTCATAAATGATTAAATGCTGCTACAGAAATCAAAGGGAAGCATCATTAAAATTCCTGCTTTTCAAGCTGAGTTAGGCTGTGCTGTAGGTCGCCTGATGGAGCCGGCACGGTGGCCACGGTCCTTCAGTGCCACTTACCTGGACCCTTTGATGTCGAGGTGGAGCTCCCCATGGTCACAGCTGCTGGCAGCTGCTTTTATATACCCGAGCTGCGGGAATGAGGAAAGCCAAGGAGAGGATGGAGCAGGGACAGTTCTCTTTTGCTGGCTGTGAAGTGTGACCCCTGCACCAGCCTGACCCTGAACACCACACGTTGCTGTGGCCAGCAGCATCCAGCCAGCCCAGAGCTCACCCCTCACCCTGGGTGTGGTGCCCACCAGCTCTGGGGAGTGTTCCAGGGCTGGTTCAGGAGAGCTCTGCACCATCATATGGAGCAGAATGAGTCCAAGGACAGTGAGAGGTGAGTAATTACTTCCCAATGAGTTAATTAAATACAGAAACCTCACAAATTGCAAAAGAAATGAAAGAGAGTGTGGGTTTGTGGCACACCCTCTGCTCTGAGAAAACTGCCTGTGCCCCAGAGGCAAGCAGGAGCAGGCTGTGTGTCCAAGAAAGATCTCCACAGTTTAAAGGAGGCTTGAGAGACAAAAGATAAAAGAAAACAGGGAAATAAATAGAGGGGAAAGGAACATAAAAGATGAAGAAAAATCTAATTCTGATGTTCATGTGTGTTTCAGGGTGGATCTGGGCTGGACCAGGGCAGGACAGGCTCACAAGCAGTGATGCTGCAGCTGCCCCAGCTACTCCCTCTCATCTCATGAGCAATGGGTGGCTTTAGAGCCTTAAATTAGCAGAAGTTTCATGTGGTTCATGCAGAGTTCATGGGCACTGCTGAGTGATCTTCCCCCCCAAGTCCCTAAGTGCTCCCAGAACAAAGCCCCAGTGAAGCCCAGGGCAAGTGAGGGTGTGTGATGGTGCTCAACATGAACAAGGTACCCCACAGCTTTGGGCCCAGGCCCTGAAGAGTCTGACATGTTTGGGTCTGAGACAGCATTTGCTGGCAGAGCTCTGCACCCCCTGAGCTGGGGGTGGACAGAGGGGGCTGCAGCTCTCCCACCTGAGGTCTGTCCTGAGCCCAGGGGTTTCACCAGAGCTGTCCATCCCCACAGGCTTGAACACCTGCTGTGGCTGCAGAGAGAGCTGGACTGTATTGAACCTGAGCACAAGAATGCAAAGTACACCCACACCCTTCCGAGCACCCACAAAAGAGTCCAAAACACAATGTATCTCATCTGGAGAAGTTCATCAAGAGGCCCAGAGGGAGGAGCTGGTGTCCAGTGTGGGTGGCAGGGCTGGCATGGGGACCCATGGGGGACTGGGGACAGTCTCTGGCTTTCCCAGGGGAAGTGGAGTCTGCCAGGCCTCCAGCCAGACGCCCAATGACAGTCTGGAGTCACAGGGGAAGGAAACACAAGTCAAAATGTTTGCAATATTTGCCTTTACGGTCAGCTTCATGTTCCCTCGCTGTGAAATGGCTGCACGCACGGCCTCACCAAGTCAGGGCCCGTGACACTTCCTTCTCCAAAAGTTTGTGAAACCTAAACCCTGCTGTCCTCTCCCATGACAGAGGGGAGAACAAGGCATGAAGCCAGGCCCTCTGCCAGCTTCCACAGCCCCCTGCCCAGCTGTACATGGCTGAAGGAGACCTTGATGAACCTAAGGGAAATATCCCAAGCCCTGTGCACAGACGGAAGGAGAAGATGCAGGACTCACATTCAAGTCCACCTTGAGAACTGGCCAGTGGCCAGGGGAAGGCTGGACATGGTGTACTGAATGCTGCCCAGCAAATCCAGAGGCACCGGTGCTGGGGGCAGAGGAGGGAGCCAGCGATTCCTTGTTGGACTCAGCTGCAAATCCCCTTCCCCTACCTGAAATTCCTTTTCATCCAGAAGAGCCTGGCTTTCAGGTGGCTCTGGGCAGAGAACTCCTGGGGATCCCTGCTCCTGGCAGATCTGGGGCCAGGGTGGAGCAGAGGAGGGAAAGGTGTCCCAGTCCTCACTCAGCAGGAGTGGGTGACACAAGGAGGGACAGGATGTGGGACTCACTGTGTGCTCCCAGTTCAGGACTCCCAGCTGGCCACTGACGAGTCCCAGGGCGATGTCAAGCACTGGGCAGAGCTGCAAGAGTTGGGAAAGGTCGGTGAGAACCCACATTCAGAGCCAGGGAAGGACACATAGCCCTGCTTGGCTCTGCCAGGCTTTCCCTGGGGTGTGGGAGAACTGGGCACCTGGAATGGGAGCCCTGCTGGTGACTCCACCAGCTCTGGGTCTGGACACCTTCCTCAAAGAGGGGGGGACACCCAGGAGCCCGGGGGGATGGCTAGAAACACCTTGGAGCTTTCAGGAGGGAG